TGTGCTGGGGTCCACATGGCAAGCTCTCCCCAAAGCACGGAACCAGGACATGAACCGGCTCTCCGACCTGGCCTGCCGCTGGGACATGGCATACATACGCGTGTGTAGGACCTCCACCGAGGTGCGAAGATCGTCGACCTCTTCCTCCATAAAACGCAACATAGGATGGGTGGACTGTGATCTAGATAAGCCAGCCCCAGTATGGGGGCGCCGAGAGGGTCCGACACTGTCATAGGATCTCCTGGATGGTGCCATACGGACCGGGTCATCATCCTCATCATCGATCTCAATAGTGGTGTGTGCACCCCTACCCACTCTAATGCTCGAAGCTTTGAAGGCTGCTTTAGGGGGGAACTCTCCATCAGCAGGATTTGTGGGGACATTCTTTCACAGGCACAATGTAGTCACCAGGGAGGGAAAGTAGAATCGTTTTGACCTCAGCGGGGACCGTATGATCATTTCGTCACCAATAAGCGTTGCCGCATCAAAATCATTCTTTGTGATGAAGCACCACGTCAAAAGGGCTCTTTGGAAGTTCACATCAGTCGTATTGCCTGAGGGCAAGAACCGGGTACAAATGACAGTGAGCCAACACTTAGCCAAATGGGTGAACGAATTGGAGTTCATGGTGATGTGGTCACGTATCCAGATTGGTTGCCCCCCTACACAGAGTACATCAGTCATAGTATCCCAAGTGACACCTGTGACGTCCTGCTAATAGTTGACGTCACCAGTAAACCGGGGCAGCCACAATACCTGTCGAATAGTTTCCACTGAGGCATCTACCCATGTGCCTCGCACAGTCACCTCCCGCAGCATATGAGCTGGGCAGTTCGCATAGAACTCCCGTACAAGCATCCTGTTCACCGTTTCAGGTTCATCAAATAAGAACTCCATTTCCCTCCGCCGGATTTCCTCATACATCTCCTCCTTTTCTGCACGGAGGGCTGCCCTGTCAATCGGTATTTCAGGGATGAAGCTTTTTGAGGCCTTGGCATGAAAGTCGTCCTCTGCCACTTCGGATTCGAACCTAAAAGCATCATAAGTAGGCTGTTGGGACATGCCTGCCGATCTCTTTTGCTTCTTACGAGCCATATGACCTGCAAAGAATACAGAAGAACCATCAAATATATCCTACATGTGCCAGCCGGATGGTTACTTAGACTTCACCACCCGATGGCACCAAATAATATCTCTCATTTACTCCATTTAGACATTATGCCAAACCCTCAACTCGTGATGTGTTCAAAGTTACAATATCCACAATGGCCCCACAAGCATACAACACCCCACACTTACTCCCTCAAGTGAGTCACGTTAAAAAAACACCACCATTCACCAAATATAATACCGCCACAACCTAGGGTAGGCACAAAATGCCTCAAAATAGCACCACAAGCCCCAAATTTTCAGCCAAAAAGGTCCCACCACCAAGCTACACCACAAAAATTATTTTCAAGCCTCCAAAACATCTAAACAACCCCTACAATCGAAGTAGAAGAAAGACCCAACCATTTTAGCACCAAATAAATCCACAAGAAACAAATACAACAATAAAAAAACAAATATTGAAAGGAAATCTACACTATTCCTACCTAGGGTTTAACTAAAATAAGTTTAGACCAAATTTACACTAAGTTAGAAGATGAAATAGAGAGAGAGAGAAACTTACTTGTTTGGTTGAGGGAAAATGGGTGGTGAAGGTGAAAAGTAGGGGAGGATGATAATGAAGTTTTGTGAAGATGAGAGGAGAAGAGAGAAGATAGAGAG